AGTGAAAAAACAGAAAATGTGCCTCAAGACAATGTGCAACTTCCGTACCAGCAAACTTCTGCTTAACTGTGCGGTGCCCGAGGAGGGGGGACCCTCTGCCCCGCCGCGCCCCCCGGGAGCACCGGGGTGGGTTTGGCCCCCGGAGATGCTCCTGGACTGCTGGATCAGGCCCTGAGCCGAGGGAGAGGGGCTGGTAGCCGCGGACTCCCCAAAATAGGGAGGGGGGGGGGGGGGGGCGGTGGATCCTGGCACTGTTCCCCATCGGGAAAAGGGAAAGGGATTGTTGGGGTGGAAGGGCCTTGGTGACCGCCCCCTCCTCGCCCCAGGATAGAGGGGTGCTGCCCCTTTGCAGCACCCCTCTATCATCCACCCTGCTTCCAGCAGCTTCCTAGATCGGGGTCTGCTCCTTCTTGTCCCCACCCCAGGATACGACCACAGGGGCTGTTCCCGTTGTCACCATGTCGTGGGCTATGGCCACCCTGCCAGGAAAATGCACCGGTGCAGCGGCTCCCGGCTGTGCCCAACCAGCCCCTCTGTGCCCCGCGGGAGATCACCGGGCTGCGAACCCCCCCGAGCCACCCCAGCACTGCCACCTCCTTGTCACCACAAGCGGCGGTGGCCGAAGCTGGTGGCCGAGCCCCCCGGCCGAGCCCCCGGGCGGCAGGACCCCCCCGTCGGAGGAGCAGCAGGAGCCCCTCAGTGCGGCCTCCCACCCTGCCCTGCCCCGGCCTCCCCCGGCCGCGCCGGTGCGTGTCGGGGCGCGGGTGGGAGCAGGTCCTCGGGCCAGCAGCGCCGAGCACATGATCTGTTGTGGCAGGTTCCCTGCAGCCTGGAGCCAGCCCCGAGCGAGCGCTGGTGATGGCTTTAATTGCTTTCAGATTCGATAGCCCAGCCCGTGACAGCGCGGCCGCCGCGGCTCCAGCTGGGCCGGCCCGGACCCCGCGCAGCCCCTCGGATGGAGAGCCCGGGAGGACGAGGAGGAGGAGGAGGAGGAGAGGAGCCACCCTGGGATGGGACTTCCCTCTTTATCTCGGCAAAGTCTTCTCCACGCTCATGGTCCCACGAGGGTGAGTGTTTGCATCATCCCCTGAGCCTCGTCCCTGGGGAGATCCAGCTGGGGGACAGCGTGACCCCCCCGGGATGCCCTTGCAGCCCTGCTGTGAAGCCACCCGGGCATGTGACACCCAGGTGTCACCGTGACACCCAGGTGAGGACCCCACAGGACCTCTCCCCTTAGGGTGCAGCTCTGCTATATCCCCATTTGGAGTGGGTGGGAATGTTGGAGGACTCCACTCCCCCATCAGAGCTGAGGATGTGGAGGGAGGGTGTCTTTGATGCCACTGGGACACAGTCTGGCCCTCTCTCGTGGCTGCCCGTGTCCCCCCAGCCTGCATGGCCGTGTTTGGGGGCTGGGAATGGCTTCCCAGGCAAATCTGGCCCAGACTTTGGGGGGTTTCTCCCCCATCTGAAGTGCCAACTGCCCCCCAAGCATCAGGTCCTCACCCTGCTGGGTGATGGCTCTGGGGGAAGCTGGGGGTCTCCTGCTGGGGGGGGAAAGGGCTGCTCAGCAACCACAGTGGCACCCGTGGGCTGGTCCTGACCCACTGGTGCCTGTGCCTGCCTCCTCCTCCTCCTCCTCCTCCTCCTCCTCCTCCTCCTCCTCCTCTTCCCTGCTGCTTCGAGGGTCTGAAGAGCCTCCTCCAGCTCCAGCCCAGCCCAGCTGGGTGCAGGCAGCTACTGGCACAATCCATAATGTTTCCCTGTCTGCCTGGCACTGGAACGTGCTCGAGGGGAGCGGGATGGGCACCCCAGCACCCAGATGGGCACCCCAGCAGGGCTGGGGGTCCCAACCTGAGCCACCCTCCTGGCACACGGTGACAGTGATGGCCATTCCACGTGTCCTTCCTGAGGGGGCCCAGCCAGGAGCCCCGGCCGCAGCAGCAACCCCTCCCTCCGGGGTTACTGGGATGGGGATGGGGCTTCCTTACAGGCGACCCCCAACCCCCCCTCCTGGTGCCTGCAGTTCGGGCAGCAGCAGCGGCTGCTGGCTGTGGAGGTGAAGGCTCCTCGATCTCTCTCCAGCCCGTGGCAGAGCGCGGGACACAGCGCAGGATGAGGAGGGGCCCGCTCGCATCCCGATCCATTATTGCGGGCAGCGCCGGCGGGCGCCCGGGGCAGGGGCTGCATTATTGACGAAGGGGAAGGCAGGCCGGGGCGCAGGCAGGGACCCTCCTGCAGGGCTCAGCCCCGGGCAAAGCACTTCGCCAGTGCCGCAGAGCCGCAGAGCTGCCGGGCCTGGCCCGGGGCAGCGGCCGCAGCCGCCGCAGCCGCCGCCGCAGCCCGGTCGTGCGATCCAGAGCAACCCCCGCGCCCGGGATGGTGCCGGGCTCGGGGCTCCCCTCGGCGCACCCCGGGGAGGGTGGCACGGACGGGCAGCAGTGCCCTTGTGAACCCCGCGCTGGCACCGGTGCTGCAGCTCTGCCCCCCTCCAGCCCGGCGCAGCGCTGGTGCTGCGCTTTTTTAAGCTTCCCTCTGTCTCTCGGCGGAGATTTGTGGCGTAAAATGCACAATATGTTCTATCTGCCCTGTGGGAGCCATAAAATATTCACCAGCAGCTCCCATTATAGTCACAGTGAATCACAGGGAGCGCTCGAGCCCTCGCTCCCCGACGTGCCCCCTCCCCCTGCAGCCCCGGTGCAGCCTCGGGGCCCCGACCGTGCCAGTGCCAGGGCCTGAGGAGCAGCCAGTGCCCGCCCAAATCCCGCAGCAAGGACCCACGTTCCCACCTCAATCCCCGAGAGACATCCCCGGGATCGGTGGGTCGAGGGCTGGTGACTGCACTGATGGAATGGCAACTTACAGAATGGTTTGAGTTGGAAGGGACCATCTTGTTCCACCCCCTGCCATGGGCAGGGACACCTCCCACTAACCAGGTTGCTCCAAGCCCCGTCCAACCCGGCCTTGGACACTTCCAGGGATGGAGCATGGGCAGCATCTCTGGCTGCCTGTGCCAGGGTCTCACCACCCTTCACCTTCAGCTGCCCGAACACCCTCCTGGGTGCCCAGGGAGGAGCAGCACCAGCCCTGTGCATGAAGGGGACCAGGATGGTGGCAGCAGCAGCGGGGTGGGCTCACGTGCCCACAGCAGCCTGTCCTGGCTGCCCTGTCCCACCACACACGGGCTGGTGTGTGAACATCCCCAGGGTGACTTGTGCTGTCACTTGGCTTTTTGCAGCCACAGCCCCCTGAGGGAGGTGTCACAGCCCTGCCAGGGTGGTGGGACAGCCCCTGCCTGCTCCTTGACTCTGCTGTCATACCTGTGTCTCACTGCTCTTCATACGGCTCAGTACCAGAGCACTCCCCTGCTTCCACCTCCCCCCATGTCCTGCTGTCCAGCATTCCCTTCCATCCATCCTTCCCTTGACCCACTGCCCATCCCCACTGGTTCCCACTGCCCATCCCCACCTCCCCCTTCTGACCTCAGACTCAAGATTGACAGAGTCAAGGGATGACAAATTTCCTAATAAAATGACACCCTGCTCTGGAGCTGATATGCCAAACACAATTTTCTCTTTTGCCACACAATCATATGTAATTATAAAGCAGTTAATGCTGCCTCTGCCCTTGGGAATCAGGCCCAATTAGGGTTGAATTTCACCTCCACCCCTTCCATGGCCACACTGCAGCTCTCAGCACAATCCATGATATCTCCTCAGAGCTCCCTACAGTGTCCCATTGTCCCAGTGTCCCAGGTAGCATCATTGCCACCCACTGCCATCCCCACACCTGCTCCTGGGACGTGTCCCCTCCCAGCACCAGCCCACACGAGTGTCCCCGGCTGCACCGGGCAGTGCCGTGCCAAGCTCCTGGCACAGCAGGATTTGCCCCCGGTGTGTTGGGTGGCACAGGGCTCACCGGGACATGGCTCCAGAGAGCCGTGGGGAAGGCAGGACACAGTCACCCACCTGGGCTGGTCATCATGACAAGGGCCACCACCACCAGGTCACCGGGCTGAGATGTCCCAGCACGTCCTTAGCTCTGAGCAGGCTCAGTGTGGGATGGGGGGACCGTGGTCACACACGGGGTCACCCCGTGGTGGCCACACAACCCACTGGGATAGCCGGGAGGGAGCAGGGCCCAGGCAGCAGCTTCCCAGGGCAGCCGCGAGGGTTAAACCCGGCTCCTCTCCCTGAACAGACTGAGGGAGAGGAGGGAGCGTGGCAGTGCCCTCCCCGCCAAAATTAACTCTCCATCTGTTTCTCCCCGGCTGAGGCTGATGGCTTGTGACAGGGCCTCCTGAATGCAAAGATGTTTCGCCCGGAAAAATCTATTACAAGTTGCTGTAAGAAAGACTGAAATCCTCTCCTTCTGTCTCTCCCTACTGGTCTCAAGGTGCCCACCCGGGGCGAGCGCGGGCTGGCACACAGCCGGCCGCCTCCGCTCAGCCGGAAAGCTCTGCCCGCGCCAGCCGGGCTCGCCGCCGGACAAACGGCACGGGAGGGAGCCGGGTGCTGCCCTGGTGCTGGGGAGGAGGGAGAGCTGCTCCTTCAGCCCCAGCTCGGCCCCGGTGCCGCTGAGGCAGCGGCCACGGCCACGGCACCATCGCAGCCCTCGGCCAGGCCGTGCTGCGGGTGGGGAAACTGAGGCAGGAGGCCGGGGAAGGGGAGCCCGGCCGGGCGGGCGGTGGGTGCCCTCTCCCGGCCGCAGCACAGCCCTGCTCGGCCCTGCGACAGGAAACCTGCCACTTGGTTTACCGAGAATTTCTGGAGTTTGCTTTATTTTCGTCCCTTTCCGTGTCTCCACACAGCCTTTCTCGGCCCCCCCGCCCCGAAGTGCAGCTAAAACCCCCAAAAATTCAAATTCCCACTTCTTTTTGGAGCTCAGCTCTCTCTCCAGCACACTGCCAGATGCTTCATGGAAATGCCTTCAAGACCTTTTGCTTTGACCCTAAAACCTCCCCCCTCATCCCCGTTGTCTGTTCCGCAACAGAACCAGGCAGCTTCAGTAAAAAACAAAACTTTATTTGGTCCATCAGAACCTGAGTTTGAAAACCACCCATGGATAATTCGTATCATACAGGGATTACTGATCTGATTTACAATTGATAAAATATCCTATGATTCTGAAGAGCTGGACAGTATTTACAGGGTTAAAAATATTCACAGCTCAGAAAGACAGAAAGAGAGAGGAGAAAAAAAAGTGAAGGACAAATAATCCCAAGGAGGAAGGAGTTGGAAAGAGAGAAAACAGATCGACAAACAAAAATACAGACAGAGCTTGGTTCAGCAGTCCCAGCTGGGGGGGCCAGGAGGGTGCCAGGGCAGCCCACCCCCCTGCCCACCCCCTGGGGGACACAGAGGGACAGGCTGGGCAGGGCTCCACACACACCCCTGCCCAGCCCAGCTGCTGGTGCAGGGTTTAGGGTGCAGGGTTTGGGGTGCAGGGTGCCCCCCAGCACAGTCCCTGCCAGAAGAGGGTCCAGCATTGCCCACCACCCCCCTCAGCTGCAGGTCCACACAGCTTGGGAAGGAGAGGGTACACAGGGGGACCCCCAAAACACACACACATGTACACACACACACACGTGTACACACACACACACACACACACACACACACACACACACACACACACGCCAAGTCAGAGAGCCACGATGCCCTGAAAGCATGGGAACAGCTCCCACCAGGATCAGCCCCTGCCCCGGAGCACCCATGGGACCAGCAGCACCCCGAGGCCCTCACAGCCTTCACCTTGTGCTCACTTGGCCTCTGAAGGAGGGGACTCTCCACTTCCCCCCCAAAATCAACCCCCTCCCCAGCACACGGTAACACCAGGGGCCTGCTCCCCACCCCCAGGTCTGTCCTGCTGCCCCTGCAGGGCAGTGCCCAGGGGGCTGAGCCCAGCTCGGGCCATGGCTTCTCTCCAGGCACTGCTTCCACCGGCTGCCTTTGCATAGTAACACTTGTGTGACAGTTGAGGGGGGTTCCCGCTGCCACAGCCCCCACGAGCATCACCCCATGGGCTGGCTTCCCATCCACAGTCACAGCAGAGGGGGCACCTCTGAGTTTCACCCCAATTACAGTGAAACCCCTCAGAGCAGCTTTCCAGAAGAACCCCGTGCCCTTTCCTTCCCAGCCTGGCACCTGGGACAGGTGGGGTGGACGGGGAGTCTGGGCACCACAGTGGGTCCCTGGCATGGGCAGCACCATGGCAGGGTGACCTCGGCACCCCTCGGCCCATCCTTGGTGCCACGTTGGTCCTGGGAGTGGACATGAGGGAACAAGACAGCGGGAGGGCCCAGGGACACACGGAGGGTCACACAGACGGACAGACATCAGAGGTATATTCTTCTTTTTGCAGCACCAGCGCCCTGGCGCCGCAGGAAGGGGCAGAGTCCTGAGCGTGGTGCCTGGGAAGGGCTTTGACAGCAACCTCCAGCCCCCCCTCTCCCACCGCCCCCCGGGGCAGGCAGAGGGCACCAGGCCCAGGTACGGGGCAGGGGGGATCCTGAGATGGCCCCGTGCCCCCAGCGCTCCTCGTGAAGTGCGTGGGGGCCGGCGGGGCCGGGCGGGGGCAGCGGGCGGGGCTGGTCCTGGTGCCGAGAGCTCACCCGGCCCCGCGGGGGGGCCAAAGTGCTGGGAGCGACCCCCCGGCTCTGCCCCTGGCTCAGCGCTGCCGGCTCGGGGGAGCACCCGGGCCAGGGGCTCGGGGACAGTGACGGGGGAGCGGGGCAGGGAGGGGGAGGCGCTTTGTCATAGGGGCCGGGGGCCGTGCAGCCCCGCGACCTCGGGCGTGAGCAGCGGGTTGTGGGTGCCCTTGGTCAGCATCCAGTCATTGAGGAAGGCCTGGGTGGCTTTGCGGTGTGCCAGGCGGTGCGTGATGGAGAACCCGGCGTTACCCTCCAGCTGGGACAGAATCACCAGCACCTGCCTGTGGAAAGAGCAAAGGGCTCAGGGCAGTGGCCTCTGACCTGACAATTGTACCCTCTGCCCCAGGAATCCCACTCCTGCCCTGGGAATCCCACCTCTGCCCTGGCAATTCCACCCCTGCCCCAGCAATCCCATCCCTGCCCCAGTAATCCAATCCCTGCCCCAGCAATCCCACCTCTGCTCCGGGAATCCCACTTCTGCCCTGGCAGTTCCAATCCCTGCCCACACCTCCCTCCCAGGCTCTGCCTCACTGCCAGCCCCCTGCCAGCCCCCTGACCCACCCCTGCCTACCCCGGACCTGTGCAGGGGGGGGACGCTGTCCTGTGTCTTGAGGCTGCCGCGCGTGGACACCACGTTGAAGCTGTCGGTGCAGTCACACTGGACGTGCAGGTAGGACTTGGGGTGCCGGTTCTCCACCACCACGATGAGCCCTGCCCAGCCATGTGTCAGGTAGTAGCAAGTCATCCCTTCACGGCCCTGGGGAGGACAGCAGGGGAAAGGGATGAAGCCTCCAGGCACCCCTGCCCCCGAATCGAAACCCCTGGATTGGCATCTTCCAGTCCAGCCAAGGGCTGCCCCTCTGCTGGGCTGCCCCACGTTGCCCCGGGGGGCAAAGGGGGTGGGTACCCCTGGGGTGGCAACCAGAACTGGCACAATTGTGCCAGACTGAGGACACTGCAGACCAGGGTCCAGGTTCCCACTGGCAGCATCACCCCCCCCTCCCCACTGCAGCCACAGGGGCCCAGACCCCGCCCCGTGCCCCCCACCCACCTCATGGCGCTCGCCCTTGTTCTCAGTCAGCAGGATGATGGCATCTGCCAGCGTAGTGGGCTGTGCCTCCACCTGCTCCACCATCACCAGGCGGGAGCTGTAGATGGCCAGGATGTAGCTGGAATAATCAGTGGCTGGTCGGCTGCTGGTGGGACTGGAAGCTGTGGAGACAACCGGGGAAGGGGCCATCAGGGAGATTGTCACCAAGCCCACAATCCCTGGGAGCAGGGTGCTGCTGGGCGCTGCACGTGCAGGCAATCTCCACCTCCAGCAAGGTCCCCACAGTGAGGATCAAGGGCTTTGCCACCTCTGCCTCCCCCAGCTGTCCTCCAGCCCCTCACCCTGGGTGGCAGGGCCGGCCAGGGCAGTGCTCCAGTGGTTGAAGGCACAGCACACCACGGCGTACTCGCCCGGCTCCAGCATCACGTCGCAGTTGACGAACTTCTTGACAGCTCGTTTGCTGTGGGCCATGAGCCGGCCCAGGCTCAGCTTGTTCCCGCTGGTGAAGGTGGCCCGGAAAACCATGATGCACAGATCCAGCAGGTGACTGTCCACTGTGTCTGACCGCCTGCACCAGAGGGAAGGGTCACATGTCACCCAGGCCACAGTAGGTTGGCATGTCCAAGGGAAGAGCCATCATCCCACTGCCCCAAAAATCCAGCCCCAGCAACCAGCTCATGTTCAGGGCTTGGGTTCCAGCTGAAACACGAGCAGTTCCAAAGAGCTGGATGAAGTGCACGGTGATGGAAGTCCATCTCTGGGCTCTGAGACACTGCAGGATGCCATGTGGCAAGAGGGTGATGTGTTTGGGATTACCCAAGGGCCCAGAGAATCATGGAATCATTAAGGTTGGAAAAGCCCTTTGAGACCATAGAGTCCAACCATTCCCTTGGCACTGCTAAGGCCACCACTAACCCATGTCCCCAAGTGCCACATCCCCATGGCTTTTAAACCCCTCCAGGGGTGGGGACTCCACCATTGCCCTGGGCCACCTGTGTCAATGCCTGACCACCATTTCTGTGAAGAAATTTTCCCAATATCCATCTAAACCTGCCCTGGCACAACTCGAGGCTGTTTCCTCTTGTCCTGTCCCTTGTTCCCTGGGAGCAGAGCCCGATCCCCCCTGGCTCCCCCCTCCTGTCAGGGAGTAGCAGAAACGAAAAGGTCCCCCCAAGCCTCCTTTTGTCTGGGCTGAGCCCCCCCAGCTCACCTGCTGCCCTCCTGGAAGAGGGCAAACTCCAGGGCTGCACGTTCCAACACTGTCAGCGACGTCACCGTCACCGGCCCGTTGGCCTTGTTGGGGAACATGCCCTGCACACGCACCTCGTGCCAGTCTGAATGGAGCTTGCAGATATCCACGGAGTCAAAATACCTGTGGGAAGCTGAGCTCAGCCCCAGGGGATATGTGGGTCTGTCCCCACATCCCTGGGGGTACACTGCTCTGTCCCCACACCCCAGCATGCTGCAGGTCCCCCGCATCCCTTGGGAATTCCCATTCCTGCCTGACCCAGTTGGCCCTGTGTCCCATTTTCTGTCCCTGCCCAGCTGCCCACCCCACAGCCTGTGCCTACTTGATGAAGTCGCTGTACTCCATCCAGAACACGCCCTCGCTGCTGCCATGGGGCATCAGGTCGTGGCGCAGGGGCGCCGGCCAGTGCGGCCACTCGTCCGACCAGCTGCCATTCCAGGAGAAGCGGCCCCAGGGATTCCGGAGCCGCAGTAACCTGGGAAAAGGGGGAAAATGGTGTTAGACACCCAGGAGGAATGGGAGACCCAGTCAGCCCAACGCAGAGGGCAGCCCACCACATCTGCCCCTGCCTCCCAAAGCCCTCACAGCAACCCAGACCTAACTTGTCACCCATACTGTTGCCCTAGATGTCCCTGTCCTGCTGCTCTCTCTGTCCTTCCCTGCCCAAAGGGGTCAGCCAGGTTCCGTGGGGATGGGGTTCTGCAGAGAAGTAGCTGCTGAGTGACACAGTTGAAAATGGGGCTTCCTACAGCACCCCAGTTGTGGGGGCAGCTTCTGTTCCTCTATCCCTGCTCCCTCCAAAGGTGAGCAGGATGCTCTGACCACCTCGCTGAGCTGAGCACTCCACTCAATCCCCTGTGTCTTGTGAGACCAGGTGAACCATTCTACACCTGGATGTGGAGCCAGCACCAGACGAGGACAGCTCATATGACAACAGAATCTTGTGACACCCTGGAATGGGACACTGAAGAGTCCCCAAGGTCTCGTCCAACATGCCCTGAGTGCCCAGGGTTTGTGCTGGGGCTGTGGGCAGGGGCAGCTGTGCTCACCTGAAGCCCTGGACGTCCCTCACATCCAGGATGGAGTAGGCGTGCCGGGGCCGCAGCCCCATGCTCTCGTAGGCCACGTCATCCACCTTCATGTTGCCTCCGCCACAGGACGCGCCCATGAGGAACCTGCACGGGCACAGCAAACCCTCGGTGTCCTGCCGGGCCTGGCACGGGGGGAAGTTCGTCCTTACCGCTCCAGGCACAGGACAGCTTCCCCCCAGGAAACTCTTGGATGCTCCCTCTTTGCAACAACACCGTAAACTCTCCAGGCAGTGCCCAGCCCCACTGGCCAGAGCTCCCTCCAGCTGCCCTGTGCACACTGAGCCTGGGCTGTGCTGAGCTGCTCTGCACAGCGGAGCTTTGCCCAAACCTCACCATGTTTCTGCCAGGCCCCAGGGTCTTGCCTGTCTCTGTTGCCTGAAAGAAAGCCACAGAGGAAGGCAGGTGGTCTATATGGTCAGGGGTGAGGACAGACTGTTTGGGGCAGGAGGTCTGCACCAGTCAGGTTTTGGGGGCACACCACATGCTGGGAGTTACCCACCTCCCATTTAGCCCCATACCTCGGCCTTGAACCAACCCAACTGCCCTCCTGCCAGAGTGATGAGCAGGAGCTCTCTGCTTTGGCCCTGTTCCCTCTAGACTGGCTCTGGCCATGCCCAGGTGTGTCCAGCAAAGATGGGTAGGAAACACATGCAGGGTCACACACTTCACAACACATAAACACTCAAAGCAAAGCAAGCAGGCTCGGTGCCATTTCCAGACTCCTGCAGGAGAGGAGTGCATGGGGAAGTTCCCCAGGATCTTCATTTCATATGAGAATTACTCACAGGAGAGCTTCAAGGAGGAGCTCCACCAGTGCTCCAGATGAGTGGTGGGCTCCACCCCAGGTAATGCAGTAGCCCCTCTCCTCTGAGCCCCTACAGACAAGAGCAGCCCCCCTCGCCCCCTCTCCGAGTGTCCGTGCTCCTGCCACAGCGCCCTCCTGCCTCTTCTTACCCAGCCTCCTTAGAACTCAGCATTTTGGCCCAGATGAGGTCAGTGTCAATGGGCTCCTCACGAGGGTTAGTGGAGCTGACCTGCAGCATCAGGCTCTCGCAGGGGGCCCCCGTGAGCGTGGCCAGGCCCTCGATGGCACGCCCGGCCTGGAGGGCGAAGTACGAACCGTGCAGCTTGGCCAGCGCCTTCTCAATGAGGGCGACCCACAGCTGCTTCCTCTGGGCCTGTGAGACAGGGAGGGACACATCACACACCAGGCAGGACCTAGGAAAGCCCCTCTCACCCACCTCTGCCCTGCCAGCCCTCCCACTGCCACAGGAGACAGAGAGGCAGGAGCAGCAAGGCCAAGCCACCAGGAGCTTGTCACCTTGGCCAACAGCGAGCCCGTTCACTCTCTGCTCGGTGTTTTGTTTGCACAGCTTAATTCTCCTTGGGAAAAAGTCCTGGAGTGCAGATCCAAGAGGCCTAAATGCTGACAGAGCTGCAGCCAGGGGTGGCCAGCAGTCAGGCTGGCAGGGTGGGTGCCCACGGTGCAGGCCCTTCCATCTGCCTCAACCTGGACTTAAAACAGTTTAATAATGGAAGAGGACACCAAGGCTGCCAGAGCTCCAGGAGTGCTTGGACAATGCTCTCAGGCACATGGTGGGACTGCTGGGGTGTCCTGTGCAGGGCCAGGAGTTGGACTCATAATATTTGTGGGTCCCTTCCAACTCAGGAGATTCTATGATTGGAGCACACCTGGAACAGCTGGAACTCTGCTGCAAACCAAAACCAACACCCCTTTGTCAAAGGAGATGGCCCAGAGCACACATGGCTGTGGGACTGATTAGATTTCACCCATGGAACAGGCACTGCTTCAAGGACAAGCTCCAAAAACTTGGAGTGGCAAAGTCCTCTTCTCCAGCACAGGGAGTAATTATAAGCCCTAATTACAAGATGCAAGTTTTTTCCCAGCAAATGGGGTTTGGTATCCGGTGCTTGGGGGGCAGCAGGGAAAATCACTGGGACATTGTGACTGTGTGTGACTCACAGGTGGCAGCCAAGAGCTGGCAGAGGAAAGGAGGGCAGTGAAGATTTCTTTCCGATGGATAAAGAGAGCTTATAAGTGCTTTTTGCTGGTTTTTGGGTCCCTCACTCAACAAAATCCATTTTGTTTATTTCTGCCTGAGCCGCAGCCAGGGAGCTCAGATAAGAGCCTGATTTTGTTTTATTTTTAAAACCCTGTTTTTCCTTTTTTAGCCCCCATGTCCAGCTCACACAGCTGAACACTCAGCAGAAAAATCTCGACACGATTCAGATGCCCCTGGAAACAGAGGTAAGGCAAGCCCAGCCCATGTGAAAACCTTCAATCTTTAAAAAAAACCCCAAAGCAAACTTGAAATTCATAAGAGAGGAAAGATGGATGGAAAACAAAAGAACCCAAGACAGGTAAATCTTATGGTCAAATAAAGAAATGCATCTGGATCCTCTCAGTCTGGGAGAGGCAGAATGTAGACACAGATCCCTTCTTCCCCTCTCCAAAGTTTCAGGGTCCTCTCCTGACACAATCTACACATGACACAGTTTGGGGCTGCGTGTCAAAAACCAGAGGACTGGGATTTGCAGAACGAAATCCGACCCAACAGTCCCTGGCTCCTTCTGACAGTGGCACTTTGTTTTCTTTGGCAGATTTTGCCGCCTGAGTTTCAATAAAGACGTTCTCAGTCTCCTTCATGGACATGATCCCAGCAAGAGCCTCTGGGCCTGGCAGGCAGGGTGGGCACAGCGCGTGCTGACGTCCTGAAGGGGCTGAGGGAGCTCCGTTCACCCGAGCAGATCCCACCCCGGTGTGCCCAGAGCAACCGGGCACTGGGTCGGAACAGGCTGCTCCATGTGCCATCCCCTCCCTCTCCACGGTCCCTCCCTGGCAAAGCCAAGCTGCCAGACGTCCCCGCAGAGGAAAGAAACAGCTTTCCCTCAGCCCCTCACAGTGCAAAACACAGGGTAAAATGTTTTCCTTTCCTGTGAAGAATAAGGACAGATTTCCCTGCAAGTGGAAGTGGTTGTGGTGGAGAGAGGAGTGAGGGAAAAGCAACTGTGAATGAAACTTCTCCACTGCAGCCTGGAAAATGCCAGAACGGGTTTAAATAGATGTGTGTTATGGCCTCAAATAGTTCAGCTGTCTTGAGAGCACAGCAAAGAGCAGGGTCCTGAGCTGCAAATAGGGTGCAACCAGGCTCAGTACTGGGTCCTGCACTTAAGTCACACCAATCCCAGACAGCTCCAGGCTTGGGGCACAGTGGCTGGAAACTGCCCAGCAGGAAAGAACCTGGGGGTGCTGGTCAGCAGTGGCTGAACATGAGCTCAAGTGTGCCCAAGTGGACAAGAAGGCCAATGGCCCCTGGGCTGTACCAGTGTGGCCACAGGACCATGGCACTGACCATCTCTGTGCTGGCACTGCTGAGGCACCTCCAGCCCTGGGAGCAGTTCTGGGCCCCTCAGGCAAGGGACACTGAGGGGCTGGAGTGTGTCCAGGGAAGGGAATGGACCTGGGGAAGGGGCTGGAGCAGCAGGAGCGGCTGAGGGAGCTGGGGGGGCTCAGCCTGGAGAAAAGGAGGCTCAGGAGGGACCTTCTGGCTCTGCAACTCCCTGACAGAAGGGGGGAGCCAGGTGGGGGTTGGTGCCTTCTCCCAGAAAACCGGCCATTGACAAGGAGAAATGGCCTCAGGTTGTGCCAGGGGAAGTTTAGGTTGGATATTGACAAAATCTCTTCACAGAAAGAGTGGTCAGGCTCTGGCACAGCTGCCCAGGGCAGTGGTGGAGTCCCCATCCCTGGAAGTGTTCAAAAAATGAGTCAGAGTGGCACTTTGTGATATGGCTTAGTGGGCATGGGAGGATTTGATCAAAGGTTGGACCTGACCATCTTGGATGAACCATGAACCGCGGCAGTACCTCCATCCGTCCTCTCCTGGGAGAGCCTGGGACGAGCCTCCCACCCCCTCCCAGCACCCTGCTCCCCGCCGGTGCCACTGACCTGCGAGAAGAGCAGGTACCCGCACTCGTCGCAGGGCAGCATGTCATCCACCAGCACCGTGGTCCAGGTGCCGTCCTTGCACAGCCGCACCTGGTAGGCGCCCTCGGAGCACAGAGTCCTGGTGATCATCACCCTCTCCACCAGCTCGGGCCGCTCGGCCAGCACGGCCAGGGCGCTCAGGAACCTGCCGGCGGGACGGGACGCGGGGCGGCCTCAGCGGGGCAGGGGCGGGCAGCGGGCACAGCCGCCCGGCCATGCAGCGCGCGGGAAGGGGTGAGGCAGAGCATGGGCTACGTGCCTGGGGGCATAAATGGGTTTGAGTAGGGCTGGGGGGGCCGAGCTGGAGCTGGAAGAAGGGGGGGAAAGGAGGAAGGGGCGGGGGGTGTCAGCCCGGCTCGCTCCCCCTTACCAGCAGTTTCCCAGCAGGCCCTGCAGGATGTCCGAGGGCCTGGGTGTCCGGAACACCGACCACTTCACCGACCGGTCCTTGAAGATGCTGCAGTTGATTTCGTGGGGCCGCAGCCACTGCTTGACCCGCTGCTGCACGCTGTCACCTTCCGGGAACCCCACGGACTTGGGCCCAGGGGGGAAGCTGTCATCTACAAAATTCACTTTGTTCTGTGGGAGCACAAGGCAAAGAGAGCATCAGCTGGGGCCTCTTGGGACTGGCTGGGCACAGGGAGCTCCCCAGTGCCCCCTCAAGAGTGAGAGCAGAACTCCCAGCCCTCCCACCCGGCCCGGACAGACCCTTCCCAGCACTGCAGGGCAGCAGGGCTGGGAGAGGTGTCTGCTGGCAGCAGCAGGGATGGTTTTTGTGCTTCAGGTCCAGTGTTCAGCCCTGTCAGGGCCAGCTCACCTCTCCAGCCCCAAGCTCCAGAATAGGACTCCAATCTGCCTTTTCCTGTTTCACAGGAGCCTCCCTGGGTAGGGATTGTCTCACACCTTGTGCTGGTGCTAAAAGCTGGGCCGTGGGGGGCCTTGGCTGCCTCTAGAAGTGGCAAAGCCTGCAAACAGCAACCCTGCAAGGAGCCACCTGGCAAAGCAAACACTCCTCAAGTGGAGCCCTGTCCCTGCTCTGGAGGGGACATGCTGGGCTTGGCAGTCCCGTGCCAACCCCCAGGCACATCCATGGGGGACCTGAGGGGCAGCTTTCGCAACTGAATTCAGCCAGACAAGCAATTCCAGAGGGAGGGTATCCCAGGTCGGAGCCCTCCTGTAATAGCTGTTGTGCAATAAATAAATAGGATGGATGGAAGGGCAGGTGATCCCAGAGGCATCACCCACATGGATGGTAACACAGAACACCAACTGGAGAAGGGCAGCTTTTTCAGACAGTCTAACAAGGGGTGAAATAAGAACAGGTGTTTCTTTGTTATTGTTAATTAAATTAAATTAAATTCTTTCAGCAAAAGCTGGCTCTCATTTAAATTAGCTTTATGCACACCAAACTAGTAGTTGTCCTCCTCTTTTGTGGCAATGCTATGTGAATGCTTCCTTTGTGGGGCCTCAATTAGCACCTCCAGCTTCTCTCTTGCAGAGGGGTGTTTTTCAACTCATAGCTGTCATGTCCCAGGGTGTGCTGCTCTCTCAGGGGAACATCTGCTCCCTGCAGCTGACGAGAAGCCACCTCTGCCAGCAGCTTCATCTCGTCACATCCTGGCCTCACACACGGCCCTCTGGGCTCCTACACAGCCCTCTGGGCTGCTCAGGAACCTGCTGTGCAGGGCCACATGGACACAAGGGAGGGGATTCTCCCCTCTACTCTGCCCTCCTGAGAACCCACCTAATACTGTGTCCAGCTCTCCAGGACTCAGCACAAGAAAGATGTGGAGCTTTTAGAGCAGGTCCAGAGGAGACTACAAAGATGCTCCAAGGGCTGGAGCCCCTCTGCTCTGGAGCCAGGCTGGCAGAGGTGGGGGTGCTCACCTGGAAAAGAGAAGGCTCCAGGGAGACCTGAGAGCCCCTTCCAGTACTTGAAGGGTGCTTATAAATAAGAGGGCAAGTAGTGATAAGACAAGGGAGGACAGTTTTAAACTAAGAGGAGAGATTTAGGTTAGCTATTAGGAGAAGATTCTTCCCTGTGAGGGTGGTGAGGCCCTGACACAGGTTGCCCAGAGAAGCTGTGGCTGCCCCATCCCTGGAAGTGTCCAAGGCCAGGTTGGACAGGGCTTGGATTCACCTGGGCTAGTGGAAGGTGTCCCTGCCCATGGCAGGGGGTGGAATGACACAGGCTTTAAGGTCACTTCAAACCCAAACCATTCTGTGATTCTGGTGGAAGAGGTCAGCTCTGCTCTCTCCCAAGACTGAAGAGAAAGGGTAAAGCTAATAAGGGGACCACACATTGAGAAGAGCTGGAACAGGTACCCCTGGAATAACGGAGGAGGGAAAGCCCACTGCAGGAGCTCGACCAGAAATCCTGACAGGGAGCAGCATGGGCTGCTCCACGTGACACGGGGCAGGGGGACAACAGGCAGAGGAGAACTTGGACAGCCTGACACTCCTCCAGGGAAAGGATGAACAGCCTGGGAACTACTGGGACAGAAGGAAGCTTGGAAGCTGCCTCACACACTGGCCTCAACAGAAGCATTGGTGGGAGGCTGCAGGGACACTGGGAGCAGAGCAGGCACGAGGGTGGGAGCAGCACTGTCCCCCCACTGCTGCCAGGCCTCCCTTGGACTGCAGAGACTCCTCTAAACAGTGTCAGAGTACAGCAGAGATTCAGTTTGAGGAGGATTTTTGGGGGATAGCCCACGCTGATCTAACAGCACAAGGGGCTCAGCCAAGGCTCTGACCGAGCAGGATGGGGCAAGGCAGGCTCCCCTTCCTGGCAGTGCCAAGCTGCTAATTCAGCCTAGCCATCATCATGATTCATCCTTCAGGCCTGATTCCTGAAGTAACAGATGTTCCCTGCCTACAAAAGAGGTTATTCACTTGCTTAAAAGAAGGGGATAAGCAGAATCTGGGTCTCTCTGCTATAAAGACACCCACGCCTGTTAGCATGGACATGTAGCAATTTTAAAAGCCCAGAACCCCCAAAACAGGATCACTGTCAGAGCTTCCCCCCAAGCCAAATATCTCTTGTCCCTGGCCTGTGCAGTGGAGACACAGTCATGGACACGCTTCTCAGACCAGGCAGACAAATCCTTGTCTGCATGTCAAAATGGGACTGCAACTCCCTTTCCATCTGGTCCAGAAGAGCTGGAGGCTTCCCCCAGAAGGAGGCCAGAGAAAGCAGCATTCACAGGAGCATCTAATGCCACTCAGGGAAAAAATGGGGCCATCAGAGCTGTGTTTGAGGCTGAAACCCAACTGATTGAGCCAGACACTTCACAGTGGGAGGGGAGGTACTGGCACATGCTCCCGAGACCCTTGACTGGAGCCAGGCTGCAGCCAAACCTCAGCTGGCCTGCCCAGAACAGGGGGGAGCCACTTGTGCTGCACCTGTGCATTCACAACACCCAAACCAAGAGCGCCAAGGCCCAGCTTGTGCCTCTTAAACACCTGCAGTTGCTGGCAGTGGTACGAGTTCCTCTGCCTGCACCCCTGCCTGTGCCCTGAGTTCCTGCCTGCTGCACCCCAGACTTCTTGCATCCACAGGTCACAGCTGCTGCCCACAGACAGTGGTGCCACCAGCAAACCTGGGCACACTCTTCCCCAGCCTTCCCCACCCTTGGAACTGTATGACCACATCAAGGTGTCCCCTTCATCCCAGATGTTCTCTCTCACTGATTTAAAATATTGTGAGGTTTCAGAGTTAACAGGTTAAGCACTAGGTTTTAGACTTCTTCACCCTTGGACCAGGAATGGACTGTATGGGTTGTCTTCACCCCAGAAATTATTCTGCACCAACATAAAATACGACATTTCAGTGTTAACAACCAGCACCCAGCTGTTGCAGGTGAATATCTCCTCTGGAACCCCAGACACAGAGGGTCCCTGTGCCAGGCAATGCTCCAGACCCACGGCGGAGGCACAAAGGTGTCCCACCACCAAGTGAAAGCAGGAGCAAGGCTTGCTCAGCCAGGACTCACCTCCCGGCAGAAGGTCACGATGTTTTCCCACAGGGCTTTGGCCTCCCCCTCGTCCGTCTGCCGCCTCTTCTCCACGTGCATGCTCTCCCTCCTCTTGAGGGGCTTGAGGCCCTTGCGCTGGGTGATGTACTGCTGGGGGGTGTGGCAGGCCCCGCAGTGCTTGGCCTTGCCCTCGTTGAGCAGGGTGCAGGCGGGACAGGCCCACTGGCCCGGCCTGTCCTGCCCGCCGGGCAGCGGGGATGGGAAGAGCCGGGCGACCTTGCGGGCGGACGGGGCCTTGGAGCCACAGGAACAGCCGCCCCTGTCGCCGCAGTCAGGGCAGCGCGGGGCAGGCTCTCCCGGCGGGCCGTGCTCCTGGAAGCCGTGCAGCTTGGAGGAGCCACACACCTTGCACTTCTGCGCCTGGGTGGGGTTCTTGAGGGTGCACTTGGAGCAGGACCAGGTGGTGAAGTCGGGGCTGGAGGGGCTGCACGGGGTGAACCTCACTGAGTCACCCACCACGTTGATGGTGTCGCTGCCCTTCTGGGTGCTGCAAACCTCGCACTTGCCGGCCCCAGCGGAGTTGAGCAGGGAGCAGGAGCTGCACTTCCAGTGGGACGGGCTGACCTCCATCTCCTCCTCCAGCACGCTCAGCCGCTTGTTGGACAGCAGCTCTGGGAAGCGGGCGGCGGGGGCGGCCCTGGCCTGGCTCTGGGGAGAGCCCTTCTGCCCCGCAGCGCTCGGGGCCGCAGGCTGGGGGGCTTCAGGGCCCGGCATCTGCAGCTGGGGGGGCACCTCCCGCCGGCTTCGGGGCACAGGGTTGTTCTGCAGCCCCGGGGAGAAAGGGCTGAAGGGTGGTATCTTCTGAGCCTCTTGTTCCATAGCCACGGGGCCCTGGGTGGCCACGGCATCACCATCGGAGATCTCTGCAGAGACTGAAGGCTGCGGGGTGGAGGGGACCATGTGGAACCCAGCCGGGGTGATGACTTCAGGGACAACCAGCGCCTCTGGGGGGATCTTGGGCAGGGAGAGCTTGCGTGGGCCCCCACAGGCGGAACAGGAGTTGGCCATGGGCGTGTTGTGCAGGGTGCAGCGCTGGCAGGCCCAGCCGCTCTCCAGCTCCGCTTCATCGGGGCTCTTCCCCTCCGAGTCCTCACTGCTGCTTTCTGCCTTGGCAGCCTCCTCCTTGGATGTGCCCTTGGGCTCCACGAGCACAGTGGGCTTGGGCAAGATGCCGTTGATGACAGGCAAGGGGGAGCCACTGGGCCCTGGCTCGGGGGTGAAGCCACATACCTCACAGGTCTCCTTGCCCAGAAAGTTCCTGAAGGTGCAGCGGGCACAGGCCCATTTCTGTTCCTCCACGCTGAGCCGCAGGATGTGGTTGAGGTCGGGTTTCTGACGAGGGGCTTCGCAGATGGAGCACTGCCGCTGGCCCACGGGGTTCAGGAAGGTGCAGCGGGTGCAGGACCACTCACGGACGGCAGCCATGGAGCCGGGAGAGTGGGAGTGGCTGCAAGGAAGAAGATGACAGTGTGAGGCCAAGGCCATGGGCATGGTCAGGACCCTGCTTCCAGGAAGAGAACAACCAGCAGTACAGTCACTGTTCTCCAGGCACCTGTTCCTCTGGCATTGACAAATTGTCCAAGTGCATGGCAATGCACCAGCTTTCACCCAAAACACTTGAGGGACGGCACTCAAGCAGCCCACTGACCCTGCTCTCATGGTGGGGGTGTGCCCCAGTGAGCACACACACCATCTCTGTACTCAGCCTCAGCAACTTTGTGTGTCTGCAGATCATCTGTAACTCTCTGGAGTTAGAGTGACATCCTGATTTGCCTTTTTGCTGTTCCCCGCATCAATTCTTTCCTCCGTCTCTACTCCAGCCCACCTCTGTCTCATTTTCTGTTCCTATCTCCCTCCTGTCCTTTCAGCTCCCCACCACAGGCATATCACTCATCCACACTGGAATAACCATGTTATCCCACACCAGACACCACCAAGCCAAGAAAGGCAGGTTGTGGTGTACAGAGGTGCTTCTACCTGGCTACAGGTTTCAGGGCCAGAAGCCTGGCCCAGCCAGCCCAGGAGCAGAAGCTGAAGCTGGTCATGGTGCACCAGTGCCAGGACAGCTCATCAGCAGCTTCCCAGCTCAGCAAGGAGGGGCACCATGTCCCAGCTCCAGCTGCCTCCCCACTTACCTGGGAAGCACAGAGGCCACAGAGCCCTGCAGTCAACACCAGCCCTCAGTTTAAACCTCCAATGCTGCCTGGGAACGCCAGAAACCCTGATGGGAGAACAGGTCCAACATGCACCCGAGCCACCTCTTCCCAGGGCAGGAAGTCACAATTTCATTTTCTGGGTAGGTTCAATTTTCAGAAAGTGAAGCACAGCAGCAGCACCAGCTCCAGGGGCCACAGCAACCTCTGGGTTGCAGGGAGTAGCCCTCCCAGTGCTGCCACATGAGCACACACTCAGAGAACCACAGAAGGAATCCCAGCCCTGCATGGTGCCCTTTGTCCCTTGCTCGGGGTCATTTCCTGGAGCCTAGCAAAGGTGGGGCTGAAGCAGAGCTTTCTGCTTCCTCCTCCTCCACACAAGGAACAGCTCTCCCTCAGGTAAACGTGCAGCACGAGCCCAGAGCCCTTCCTCGGTGCACTCCTGCTCCCAGACAACGTGGTTTAACCCAACCTCGAACCCAACCTCCAGGCCAGCTGTGCTTCTCTCCAGCAGAGCAGGTCCCCTTCCAACCCCTTCCACCCCACTCTGCTTGCCTGAGGTCATGGACAGGGCCAAGTCTGCAGGAGAAGCCACCAAGTCCACCCCATGCCCTCAGCTCTTCCTGGGAACAGCAAATTCAGGCCTTCACAGACCAAGGAAAGAGCAGCCTAAACCATGGGAGCTGCACCTCATGGGCTCACCATGGGCTTCCTCTCCAGCATCCCTTCAACAACCCAGTTCAATCACCATGCTGGCTGGAACAAAGAAGGGAGGGAGAACATTAATGCCACAGAGGGCAGGTGCAGAAAGCTCCAAGATGCCTGTGGAAGGACCTGGATCCTGGCTGGTCTCCAGAATCCCCAGTAGCAGCACCTGCACATCCAGCTTCCCAAGGCACTGAGCAGACTGCAATGCAGCAGCAGGGTCTGGAGGGGACAGAGGATGCAGCCAGAACCCCCATGGGGAAGAGGATGGTGACTCTCCCTTTGGCTGCTAGATGAGAAACTCTCCTGGGAACACTCCAGCAGCAGCAGCAATCCAACCACATTTTCAGACCACACTCTACAGCCACTGGAAGAGCAGCTCTGCCTCAGAGATGAGATACAACCTTCAACTCCCTTCTTAAATCAAACACTTCTCTAAATAAAGCCTGGAATCAAGAAATCCATTTTATTGCAAGAGAGAGCTTGAAAATTCATTCTGGTTCATATACCGTGCCTGCATCGTTTGAACTTTGCAAGGTATTTATTTACTGGAGTTATTCCCAGCTAAGAGAAATACAAACATTGATTTTTCTGCCTCAAGTCCTACAGCTGAGAGCCACTGCACATCGCTCTCCTGTGTGGCAGCACCGTGCCCACAAGGACTGAAAGGGAGATCATTCCTCAAGCAGAGAAGGAGAAGGAGCTCCGTGCCCGGCTCCGGCAGCAAACGGGGCCATGAAGGGCACTGTGATCCTGTCACATCCATTTGTCTTACTGGGTGAGCTCCATCAAACCACAGGCATCAGCAAAAGGCAAGTGAAGCCTGTCAGCAATCTGTGCCATCCATGGCCATCCTCCTGCAGCATTCCATGCTGTTCCCCACTGTACACTGTGCTGCCTCCAAAAAACCCACCTCTAAATGTAGATGCCACAGTGCTTCCAGAGGGTCTGGACATCCAGCCACCAACCCTCCGGCTGCACACATCCCTTTCACACACTGGTCCTACCCAGCAGGCAAAGGCTCCTGGCAATGCCACCACAGGACCCTGGAAAGAATCACTTTATCCCTTTCCATAGAGAAGGGAAAACCCAGGATAACCTAAAAGGCAGAAGTACCACACGAGGGGACAGTGGGATGAGCTGCATCACCAGACTTGTTTGATGCGGTGTCAGGGATGAGCTGCAGGCTCAGGAAAGGCAGCATCATTTCACTTGGCCAGGCAGGAGACTCAGGCTCAGCAGCAGGAAGGGAGGCAGGAGCCAGGACACTGCAGTGCTCTCCTCTAAGCTGTGACACTCCTGGGCTACACTGTCCCCCTCCTGGTCCCTCATCTCCCCCCATGCCACAGGAGTCGGCTCCTAACACTGCCCAACTGCTGCTGGCATTTCCACCTACTTGACTTTCTCAGGAAAACAAGCCTTCCAGAAAGGCCATCAGCTCTTCCCTCCGAGGTCCTGCAGTGGCCACGCCACCAGTGTGACAAGCTTTGGCAGGAGACTTCCCTGCCTGCTGTTGCACCATGTCGTGTTGCCCAGCAGCCACAGTATTCCCTGAAAACTAGCAGGAAATGCACGGAATTGGGAGAGGACATGGGACATGAATCTTCAGCTGTCCCCCACAAGACACCAGTCCCCCAGACTTGGTGACGAGCCCACAGCCTGCTGCCCCCAGACTCCTGCTAGGGCTCATGGACAGTTCCAGTCCCTGCCTGGAACATCAGGCTTAAAGGTCCAAAGATCCCAGAGGGACCTGTCTTTCCATGGTCCAACTCATATCACCACGTGGTGGATCATGGCAGCAGCCTCTGCCCCACAGCAACACCTTCCTCACAAACTCAACCAGCAGGAGAAACCCAACCACAGCCTGTCCACGCTCCATACTTCTCCCTAAAAAGCCTGGTTGGCTCCTTTCCCGGCAGGCAAGTGAGGAAACAGGGTTGTGTGCAGCACCTATTCCCCAGGCCCATCTGCTGTGTGCTAACACACACTTGCTCTCCAGCCCCAGCAAACACAACTGAGATAAACAGCACCTGCCACCTTCCCAGTGCCTGTGGAAGAGGAGCTCCTCCAAAACCAGCCCTGCAGTCACCCACCCACGGGAGGGCTTTTCTGGGGGACACTTCACTGGGAGCACGATGACACGAGGTCACCACAGCCTGGGAGCAGGGAGCTGCTGGAGGCTCTTCTGGGGTGCACACAGCAAGGAAAGGGCAACAGTGGTACAACCCCACACCTCCAGCAGCATGGATGGGGCTGGATCCACACCTCCAGCAGCATGGAAGGGGCTGGATCCTTGTGGCTGTGCTGCTCACCGCAGCAGCTCTCCCCAGCCAAGGCAGGAGACATCAGCTGGCAGGAGGCAGCACCGTGTTGGCAGGAGTGCCCCTACCCTGGCAATCACAGCAGTGTAATTATCATGCTTAAAAAATAATATAGAAGGTACTCAACCCAGCAGGCAGCTTTCAGCATGCTGAGCAGGTCCCAGGGAACCTCACTGCTCCAGGGATTAAGAGGGTTCCAGCTGGTCACCTTCCAAACCCACCTCAGGGCAGTGATATCCCCCTCCCAGGGCTCTGCTGAGAGATGAGTCTGCTGAGCCTGAGTGTCCTGTTGCTACAGAGCCCTGGCTCCTATGCAGCCATCAAACTGGCCAGGGGTGTCCACCACCTCTGGGTGCCACCTGAGACCAAAGATTTTTCTGAAGCAGGACAGAACAGGAAGGAACGGGGTAGGGAAGGAAACCAAGAAGTGCCCAAAAAGCTGCAGTTTGCGTTTTTCCTGCTGGCAAGGAGCTGGGGGTGTGCCAAGGCTGTGATGTGCAGCCGAGCTCCAGGGCAGGAGGTGGCTATCAGCCCTGGGCAGAAGCACCTTGGAACTGCCAGAGAACGGCTCGAGGTGACCTGGGCACCAGAGCGAGAGATCCCAAGGCTCTGCTGCAGAGCCCACATGGCAACAGGATTATAGGAGCCTGTGTCAATCACACAGCAACAGAATCAGGCTGTTTCTCTAAATAAAACTCCCTACCAGAGCAGCTAAAGCCTTAAAACTTACTGCTTTGGTTCTCCCCCGCAATAAATAAACAAATAAATAAAAAATCAATTGTTCCAGTCAGCAATCCCAACCCTGAGCTCTCTGACACAGAACACATCCCAGCAAAATCCTCATCTGACAAATGCAGGAAAAAGCACTACAGCTTTGTGAAGGAAAAGAAAAATCACCAAAAAAATCTAAACAAAACCCTGCCCCAATTGAATCCCTTCCCCTCCTCCCCATCCAGCTGATCATTAATATCTCCAATTTAATTTTCTTTCAACAGCACTGCAAACCCTGACCTAAGAGAGGACTGCTGAGCCTTCTCCCACACAGACCTACCACATCTCCAGAGCAGCAGACCCCCGTGCCCGTGCAGGGAGGGGTGCAGGAGGTCAGGAAGCACACGGCATCGCTCTGCCAGTTGGACTGTGAGGAGGACACGTGGGTTGGGCTCATGAAGCCGGGCAAGGAGATGCTGTTGGCTGAGCTGACTCACTCTTGCAGAGCCAGGCAAGGGCTGGGAGGCTGGACCAGGAAGGTTGCAGCAGATATACTG